AGCCATTGCTCTTCACCACTGAGCCATCTCTACAGGCCCCATGGTTCATTTTTCATATCTTTTGTTCTTCTGTTTTGGGACAGGTCCTCTGTATCTCCCAGTAATCTAGGATACATATTCCCCTGCTTCCCAGGGATGTACCACCTAGGGCCACCTTTATATAGGTGTTCTGAGCACTTTTTTTTTATCATTGAAACAATGGAAACAAAGTCACCATATAGCTGCCACATAAAACAGTTGAGAATGTCATTTTCAGGGAATATTTTAATTTTGCTAAAATTTGATTTAAAAAAAAAAACAGAAAAAGATCTAAAGCAACTGGCTTTTATTTCTCTCTCCAAATCAGTCAAAAACTTTAGGATCTAATGTCTTACAAAACATAGGCAGGCTGGGTATTGCACCCGAGGCTGGGGAGGCTCCAGAATCTGTGGTAGGATGGCCCAGGGGGCAGGCTGAGTACAGTGGCTTCTACTGGCAGCCCCTGCAACGCCTCTCAAAAAGTCGGCCAGGAGGAGCCTGGAAGAGATGCAGGAAGGAAAGGGCTGGTCTTCCACTGATGTGGCCAGCAGGCCTGCCCTGAGGGTGTGTCTGGATTTCAGGGAACTTTTGAAGAAGGAAGACTAAAGATGGATGCTAGCCACCCTTCCCACTCAGAGAGGACATCCAAGCCACGCTATACATTTAAACTCTGCATTGAAGTACCCTAGCAAGGCAGCCATTATACAATCACCATGGATCTACCAGCCTTCCATCGGTTTCTGTCTATATTATCCCATGTTGCCAACTCTGTGCCTACCTGTCTCACATCTTGTCTGTCTGTCTGCTTATAATCTATCTATCTCTTGTGTATATGAAAATATCCAGGACTACAAAAACCTGCTGCAATTCTGGTTCCGTACCATATCCAGACACAAGCCATAATATCCCTTTAAAAGCTCCCTCAGCTTAGGCAGATACACAGGGCAGGTTGCGTTCAGTTGTCCCCTTCCCTTTCTGCCCTCCCTGTGTCTCCATCATCATATACACAATGGCTTGGAACCCTGGAGTTTTCCCAGGGCCTCTCCTTTTCCTCTTTTACCCCAAGGTATGGCATCCTCAAGTTTGTTGTCAGTAAGTATGTCTTTCATGTTGCTACTGCGATCATACGGACACGGTAGTATGTACAGGAGGCATGTGTTCAGGCAATACATATTTAGTGAGTACTACATAAAAGACCTTTCTGGGACTGTATACCATGAGTCTTTTCTTTCTGCTAACACTGAGCTGGTAGAAGTTTTACATGAAGTAAGGCTATTGAAGACATGCACACCCACACCCCTCCCCCCCCCACATACACACACAGGTTGGGGGCAATGACCAAAACCCACTGTCAAACTCTAGATTTTGGAACTATTTATAATACAGAACCCAGAATGTCTAACAGTAAGCTAAAATACGAATTAGACATAAGAGCTATGAAGGTGGTAGAGAAAAAAAGAAACACGGTCCTCTGCTGTGAACAGGAGCTCTGTTAACATGCCCCAGAACGCTCACTGTATGGCTCTGTTGACAGGATAGAATAACCGCAGCCTCCAAATCAGCCCAGCTTTTTCACTTTCTCCAAGACTATGTTTCAAATAAAAGAATGTGTTTAAAGTGGAAACAGCATGAGCAAAATGTAAGGGGACAAGACAAGGGCTGGCAGTAAGCTGACCTCCTGAGAGGGGAGGTGATGGTGACTAGGTAGCCCTTCTGCATATTCCCGAGAAGATCCTTTCTTTTTCAGAGTTTGCTCATTCCAGGGTTTGGTTTCCTTCCTTCCCACCTCCTCCTCCTCCTCCTCCTCCTCCTCCTTCTTCTTCTTCTTCTTCTTTTTTTTTTTTTTTTTTTTTTTTTTTTAGATAGGGTTTCTCTGTGTAACCCTGTCTGTCCTGGAACTTACTCTGTAAACCAGGCTGGCCCTGGCCTTGAACCCAGAGATCCAGCCACCTCTGTTAGGATTAAAGGCATGTGCCCAACACAGCAGCTGATGATTGGTTTTCTTGCAGCCTCTCTTAAGTGTCTTTCCATGATCCAAAGCCTCTCATTCATTCACTCTCATACTAAACTCTTTGGCTCTAACCCTAGCTAATGACTCTAAAGCAAGAAAATGTAAAGTTTATTACATGTATTACATGCCAAGGGTATGTGAGTTGGAGCAACTAGCCTGCGATTGTAAGGACAATCCAGAAAGCTTGCTGACATATTTATGACTGGTTATCAGCAAGAGAAGTAGAAATCTACTGAATGGCAGAACCAGAGGCCAAAGAGTTCAGTGGGCCACTGGACGTGCTGAAAGGAGGAAGGACCATGGTAGGAGTGTGTAGATGAGGGTCCACTGGGAATCATGCAGATAGGTTGCCTGAAGAAGCAAGCAGCCAATGGCTACCCTTCTGGAAAAATTACAGGAGTCTCAGCCAAGAGGAAGCTCTGCGAGACCTAGACATGAATGATGTGGGAAGGTCATTGGTTAATTAATAAAGAAAACTGCTTGGCCCGATAGGTCAGAACATAGGTGGGTGGAGTAGACAGAACAGAATGCTGGAAAGAAGGGAAGTGAGCTCAGATGCCACACCTCTCCTTTCCAGGGCAGACGCAATGAAGCTCTGACCCAGGAAGGACGTAGGCTAGAATCTTCCTGGTAAGTGCACCTTGTGGTGCTACACACATTAATAGAAATGGGCCAAGTAGTGTTTATATGAATACAGTCTGTGTGTTGTTATTTTGGTGCATAAGCTAGCCAGGCCGCTGGGAGCTGGGTGGCAGGAATGCAGCCCGCATCTCCTTCAACAGAATGGCGCCCATGTGGACAACTGCTTCCACATAAAGCCTGAGAAAACTTGGGAAAGATATGTTTGACCTGGCGGCTTGCTTCATCACGTCTGCCCTGGAGAGAAGGGGCATGGCTTCTGGCTCACTTCCTCTTCCTCCCAGCATTCTGTTCTGTTTACTCCACCCACCTATGTTCTACCCTATCAGGCCAAGCAGTTTCTTTATTAATTAACCAATGAAATCAACAGATTGATATGACACTCCCACATCACATGAAGGTGTCCACTGAGGAGACTGCTTTGAGCTCAGGTGGTGGTGACACAGCTACAGGGGACCTTTCATGGCCCTTGGGAGGAGGAGGAGGAGGAGCGGAGCAAACAAGGAGTCCAGAGCTGGGCAAGCAGCATCCAAGAAGAACAGTCAGAGCCGAACAAACCCAAAGATCTCATCGACAACACCAGCGCCAGCCTGGCCAGGGAAGGCAGCCGCAAAGGAAAGTTTTTCACAGGAGTGAGGGTGTCTTGGGCCCGTGATCTCTGGGCAGTGCCGGCAGAAGCAGAGGCTATGCACGTGTAGGTGGGGGAGGTGTCTGGCTGTTCGTTTCCCTGAGCTTCCATCCTCCTAGTATACTGTCCATCTGAACCCCTAACCCACTTTTCCTATCACTGGCCCTTTCCATAACCTTTTCTCCTTGCTCAGAAGGAAAACTTAACTTTTTGTGGGTACCTGAACTGACACCCACTGTTCTCACTCTCTTCTCAACTAAAAATAATTAAGTACATAATCAATCAATCTTAGCTAGATATGGTGGCTCATGCTTTTAATCCCCACACTAGGGAGGCAGAGGCAGGCAGATTCCTGTGAGTTTGAGGCCAATCCGGTCTACATAGTGAACTCAAGGACAGCTAAGGTTACATAGTGAGACCCTGTCTATAAAGCAAAAAGGAAACCCTTAACTTTAAGAGAAGGGAGATAGCGGTCGTGATGCTTGTTCAGTCCTGCGCATATGTTACCTGCAAGATGTTAATAAGATGGACTCTTCCAAGGGAAACTGGGACAAATCTCTAGACCATGTCATTTGCGCAGTGGTCAAGGAGCCACAGCCAGGGAGCCTGGAGATGAAGTCGTGTTTGTGAGGGGTTATCAGAGCCACGAAGAGGAGGGCCTTGTGCACTTTAGGAGTCCCATGGCCTACTGCTGGGTGACTGAAATAAACAAGACTTTGGTTGTTGTTGTTCTAGTGAGCTGATCCATTTCTGATCAATAAAGCTGTAAGATTCTATCTGGTCTGGGCGCTCATCAGAACTTCCTGCAAGAGATATGGAAGGCTGTGCTTAGACCAAGGAGCCTCTCTGCCTGGAGAAGGTGTCCTAAGAGGTGTGTGTTTGTCTGTTTTTCTTCCAATGAAGCAGAATGGTTTGCTAAGATCATCAGCTGTTTGTAAGTAAGCTCTGTGTTGTATACTGATGGGGGATTCTCTAACACCCAAGCTTAGTGTGTCCTTGCCTGTTTTTTGTAGGAAGATCAGCTGAGTTCCTCGCCTGTCACTCATACAGACGCTGCCCCAACCCTCTTGTTCAGTCTTGAATATTTAAGTTGTTGACTGGACAGCAGCACCTTCTTGAATAGGGACAAGAAAGAAACGTCGAGAGAATGTGGCTGATAACACCAGAGAGTGTCTGATTTTGCCAGGCAAGCAGGAGATGAAATGTTCTTTTGTACATGGGCAGGAAGCAAGCAGATAATCTACTGCAAATGGTCTTTCACACATACCAAGCGTGTTGAATTTGATCTTTCCCATCAGAAGGATCTACTGAACCTCTTTCATGAGTGATTTAGTTTGAAGAGTCCTGTAGCCCATGAATTCAAAGGTGTTAGCTCTTTGTGGGGGGAGGGCTAAGTCTCACTCCTTTATTCTCCACATCAAAGTGAAATTGAAATCACCAATGAAACAGTTTGTGTCATTTTAAAATTCTTTATAATAACAATAAAAACACAGTCAATGCACCCTACAGAAGAAGTAGCAGTGAGGAAATTGCTGACTGTATTAAAAGCCTGGGACTTTTCAAAGGATGAACTTATGGAGGACCGTAGTATACAAATCTAAGTTAGATCCAAGTATGAGTCCATCAGTCTTAGCTAATTGAGCAATATTTTAGTATCACTGATGCACATCTCAGGTTATAGATTGTTTTGGCTGTCGATCAAATACCTGTCTGGCTTCATAAACTCATTGTGGGATCACTTCTGGCAACAGGCTCGTGTTTTCTTGAGTATTTAAAAATGTCAAAAAAAAATCTTTTGAAAACAACCGTGTTAAACTAAACCTTTGCGGGATGTACTTGGGGCGCTCCCCACACCCTGCGAGTCACTAGTGTCCCTCCCTGGTCTTCCCCTACTGTGGCCAAGCCTGTTTTCCGTGCCGGTGGCGGACTCCACAGCCCTCCAGCGTCGTGAACCTCCTGGCTTCTTGATTTGTCAACCTGCTCAGCGCACGCCAATCCCCTCCAGCCGCAGGCTTTCCACTGACAAGCGCTCCCCAGTCCAAACACCTGCTGCTGCTTAAGGGCCTTACCGAGTTCGTGGAAGATGTGTGGGCGTGACAAGAGCTCCTAGGAGAGACAGAGGGACAGTCTGAAGCTGTGGGTGTGTCTCAAACTGTCTGGGGCTGGAGAGTCAGTGGGGGGAGAATAACTAATTATTTGTAGTGGCTGGCCATTCCGAGCGTGATTCTCGGTAGGAGAATGCGGTACTGGAGGCAGAGCTCAGGAGCACCGACCCCGGTGGAGTGATATAGGGGAATCAGAATCCGATGGGCGACCCCGCAGGTGAGCTGCGGCTCATAGCGGCCTTTCTTTTTCTCCTGGACCAAGTAGGAGAGAGGAATGTCGCTCGCTGGAGCTCCTCTGCCGCTCCAGGTGCCTATGTGGAGCTGCGGGTGGTGGTGGCCCAAAACTCTTAGCAGTAAGGCAACTCAGGTTGAGCAACCTTCCCTGCTGGAGATTTAGTCTAGTCCTTCAGGAAGAGCCTCTGATCCCATTTAGGAGCAATTTTATCATGGGCATCTGGCAGGTTCCAGTGAGCTTTTTTTTTTTTTTTCAAACCTGCGTTATTTACAAGGACGAGACTGGGCTGTTCCGTGGAGGCCGGGACGACTTCAGCTTTGAGTTAATGGATACATAATTGAGGAACAACGTGGAATCAGTGTCATCGTAAATGATCTAGTGCCTCAAGTTAATTTCACCCGTGTTTGTTCCAAGAACATTCAGGTCAGTCGTCTTGGCTAGTCAGCGCCCACCAAAAAGATTTCTTTTCCATCCAGCATTTCAGACACAGACTTCAAGTTCTTGGCGCTCACAAGTTGCAGGAGCATGTTTCACGTCTTGTCTTTTTTAAAAGGTAACACGTTATTCCTTGTTTTGCTTCTAGGAAGCAGAAGGTTGAGGAAATGACTTGGGCGGGTGCATTTATGCAGCCGAAAAAGACACAGGCTCCCTCCCCTGGGACCTGCGCGACTCGCACTCTTTCCGAAGGTGCCCTGGCAAAGCGTCCGGTTTTTTCGGACGCTCCGGGTCCCAGTGCCTTACGTGGAGGGTCTCTGGCGCCTTCCTTCGCCGTCTGGGGACACTCTGGCCTGGCCGGGTCAGAGACCGGCGGGACCGTTCGGGAGAGCGCCCGACTGCGCCTCGTTCCTCGGTGCCAGAGACACCGTTGCGGAGGCGCGGCCAGCTTCCCTAGGATAAGACTTCCCGCCCCAGGGGCAGGGCGGTGCACTTAGCCGGTCCCCTCCTCAGTTTCGGGCAGTCCCCAGAGCTGAGTAAGCCTGGTGGAGGGAACCGGGCAAGGATTTCCTGAGAGCGATGGGCAGGAGGGGCGGGGACAGGAGGGCACGGAGCAAGAACCCTGAACCTGCGAACCTGCCGGGAGACCCGCGCTCCCAGCTCCTCCGCACGCGCGCTCCTGCTCCGGGCCACCCGCCCTCGCCGGCCCCCGCCCCTCCGGGAGGAAGAAGAGGGTAGGTGGGGAGGCGGATGAGGGGTGGGGGACCCCTTGACGTCACTGGAAGGAGGTGCCGGGGTAGGAAGTGGGCTGGGGAAGGTTATAAATCGCCCCCGCCCTCGGCTGCGCTTCAGCGAGGTCCGCAGGAGGCTCCGAGCGCGGTGGCGGACATTCCCCGGTGGTAGTGGCGGCGGCGGCGGCTCAGAGCGGGCTCCGGGGCTCGAGCGCAGCGGCTAGCGGACGCCGGACGGCGAAGAGGGGGACCTCGGCTGCAGGCGCGGAGAAGGGCTCTCGCGGCGCCAGGCAGGAGAGCCAGGGGACCGGCTCGGGCGGCTGCGCTGTCGGCCTCGTAGAGCGCGGGCACCGGGCCAGCAGGCCGCGTCGCGCTCACCATGGTCAGCTGCTGGCACACCGCGGTCCTGCTGTGCGCGCTGCTCGGCTGTTTGCTTCTCACAGGTGAGGCGCGCCAGAGACCCTGAGTCGGAGCTGGGCGGGGATGGGCAGCCGTGGGATGATGTTCCGGCGGAGCCGGGCAGTAGCCCGGGAAGCGAGCTCCAGCGGGAGCCGAGGACACTTGTTGCAGTGGTGGGACACAGTTTTTTTTTTTTAAACCTTCGGAGTGGGCGCCGCTGGAAGTGGCTGACCTGGACTGGCGGGCATCACCGTCCAGACTCACCTTAGATCTACGCTGGGGTCACAGTCGGGTTGCCGGTTGCAGCGGAGTCGCTAGTATTTTGCCGGGCTACTGGGTAAGGTCGCCTTCTCTAGACTCTGGGTGCCCGTGGACCTTTCAGACACCCAGATCTTCCTCCCAGACAGTGGCTGGGTCCTCAAGGGCTGTCTGGAGCAAGCAAGAAATAGAGGCTGCGGTGGGGTGGACAGAGGAGGGGCATTAGAGTTGCTCGTAACTCCGTAATCTCGTGCCACTAGAACTGAGGAGGAGAACAAATTTGGGGAGGGTCGCGTGCCGGCGGCAAGCGGAGGGACCCCAGAAGAGGGCCAGCTCTGATTTCCCAGACCCGTTTGGGACCGTCCCAGGGAAGTTGGGGAACTCTCAAGTCAGCGCCGGTTCTTCTCAGAGGTTCGCTGAGCGCTGTCTCCCGGGTGGGGTCTCCGCGGGAGCGGGCCGGGTGGGAGGTCCCGGTCGCCGGCCTTAGCGACACAGAACTACCAGGGCAGCTTAGGCTAGATAGTTTCAGATTTCGGAATCGTCCAGAATCAAAAGATGTAGCTTGAGGAATTGGTGAGGTATGCTCACCTTCTAAATCATCTTTCTTTGGGACATGAAAAACCCGCGGTGGACCGATCAGGGACCAACAGATTTGAAGAGCAATTACCGTGATGGAGCTGTTGTCATTCAGAGGCCAAAGCTGGAGGGACCTTGGGAGCTCCAACTCCAGGTCCCAGCGCAGCGGGCGGGAATGGCGAAAGGTTCACGGGGGTCCCTTTCCGCAGAGTCAGATATGAGAGCGCGAGAAAGTCTTTCTTTAAAGTCACTTGTTTGGGAAAGAAGATAGGAAAAAGTCAGGAAGAATTGTAATGTCCCGCAGCTAGGTTAAACAGTAAAAATTAGCCCTTTGGAATGTGCAAGACTGGCTGTCGTTTCAAAGTAATGAGCAGGGGTTGACAATTAAAATAGAACTCCATGTGGGTAGTGCTAAAATAATGATATTAAATATTTTATTTTCAATTTCACGAATATTTTGGGAAAGCTGTTTATATGAAAATATAATTGCTTAGAGAGTTTAAATACTAATTTATTATGTAAAGGTAAAACTAGGTTAAAAAATTACTTTGAACCTCCAAACTACAGAGGGGAAAATCATATGTTTTATTGGATTTTCTCCTTCACTCACCTGTCTTTATTTTCTGTTTTTAAAGCGTGCTTGGTTTTAGCTAAGCGTAATTTTATTTGTGTTTGAGAACAGCGGAGGCAGATTGAGGCTGTACGGGAATGTGAGAGGGTCTGACTGCGGGTTTATCGGGAGCCGCCTTGGAGCGCTCGCTGGGCGCTGAGCTGCGTCACTGTTATATCCTCAGTACTTACTACTCCTTACAGACTGACGGACGCCGTAATTTCCGCACTTTCGGGTCCTCTCTGCATCGAGACCACTGTTTTTATAAAAGTTACCTGTCTTCTGTTTAAGATTTAAGGCACCACACCCTTGATTAGACTCTGACTCTCTCTCTCTCTCTCTCTCTCTCTCTCTCTCTCTCTCTCTCTCTCTCTCCCTCCCTCCCTCCCTCCCTCCTCTCTCCCTTCTTCCCTCCCTCCCTCTCCCTCTCTCCCTCCCCTTCCTTACTTTTCTCCAAGCAACTGCTGTTTAGCTTGGTAGAACTAATTAGAAATAGTTAAATTATAGTAACGGCGGGGTAGTCCCAATAGTAACTCTAAGTTCAAATGTAAATTATCAAATAATGCTATACAGATGTGAGGTCCTTGTCGGTAACTCTAGAACTCAGGGCTTAAAGCAGAGGGCGGTCTAACCTAGCGTGGACATTGGCTGTGGGGCGAATTAAAGTCAGCCTGAACTATAAATTAATGATCATACCTCTTCCCAAACTGAATATAATGCCTTCCTCATATTACTTATTAGTATCATTTTCCATAGTGATTTCTGTTGTTTTCTCCAAGGCTAACAGAGCCATATTTTCCCCAAAACTGCATATTTTAAATGATCATTACTTAGAACCCTTGTGGGTCCATGTTGTTTTCCGGTCAATCGTCTGATTGATCAACTGATCATCTTGCAGATAAACTGGGAACTGTGTTGGCTGTCTAGTGTCTTCTTTTTTTAAGTGTGCAACATTAATTTTTTATGATTGAAAGTCTTTAATAGGCTATATAGTTTCTTTTCAAGTGATCCCCAGTTAGTATTTTTCTTCTAAAAATGTAGAAATTAGAAAAAAACAGTTGTTTTGTTGTTGTTGTTTTGCTTTTTGTTTTTGTTTGTCTTTTGATTTTTCTAAACAGTTCTGCTGTGTAGCCCTGGCTGTCCTGAAACTCGCTCTGTAAACCAGGCTGGTCTCAGTCTCAGAGATCAGCCTGTCTCTGCCTCTCCATTGCTGGGATTAAAGGTGTGTGCCACTACCACCGGCCTAAAAATATTGCTGATTTCTAAAGCTCCTTTCTAACTATAAAATTCAATGAATAAATTCCAAGAAACGAACAGAATGGGGTCTTTCTGTTCTCTCTGCTCCCCTCCATTCTTATACATGTTAACATGTTAGTGGGTGCTAAGCCCTTGGACACAGTGGCTGGCAAGCTAGGCCTCTCTTAGCAGGGCTCACAACATCTTCTCTGGTAGAATGTTCTAGACCAACCAATCAACTTGGTCTTTAGTGGGCTTTCTTTTGCAAGGGGTGAGCTGATGCAGGATGCCACCAGATCATTTGCTTGGGCCTCCCGCACCCCAAGCAGAATGTGCAATTAGGACAGAGACTAGGTCGCACTAACTTTTCTGAGGCCATCAGTCACTTTAATCCCCTATGTATTTTTTGGTTTTAAAGAAACATTAGCACTTAATTGTTTTTTTTTTTTTTTAAACCGGCTATGTTCTCAAACTGTTTCAGAGTCTGACAAGGCTACCAAACCACTTATTTGATAATCGAACCCATTATTTTTTGTGACTTTAAAAGACAAATCAAATAATTACTTACTTTCCCTCTCCAAAACTATGGAGACGTTTCTAAATCTTTCAATGTGTATCAGATAGAACTTGAAGTGATAATCACCAAAAAGGGGAGGAAAAAGGCTTTCTAATGACACCCACCACTCCCCCACCCACCCCTTTGAGAAAGTGATTCCCTGAAGGGAATTATGTAGCAGAACACAGTGGGACTGTGGCTGGTCTTTTCCCTGCCTGGTGCAGTTGAGTTAAGAGAAAACAAACAACAGAGTATTTTTGTGTTGTTTTTAATTGAGTGTGGGAGTGAGCCCGAGGCTAGAAAGAGAGCGCAAGCCATCCATCCCTCTGCTAGCTGATGGTTCAGTCCAAGCTAGGGGATGTGAGGTAATTGCAGGTAAAAACCATTTTTCAATGTAGCTTGATATGGTGCACAGAGGAGGGAGGCTATTGGAAGATCGCCACGGGCTTTGTTTTTTTTTTATTTTAAGTAAAAATATATTACTGCGAGTGGCTGAAAGCATAAAATCATCTGGCCCATTGGGTTTAGCTTAAGAGAGTTGGACAGACTATCCTGTGTGCTGGCTTCCTTCTGCCGAGTGTCTCCGGAGGAACAGAGGACCAGAGGAACAACAGGGCCTCTGCCAGGCGCTTTCCAGGATTGCTGTGAAGGCAGAATGCGGTGGGTGCTGTAGACCCTGCCTGCTGCTGGTTAAATTGCTGGACTCCATACCAGACTGAAGGAAGGAAATGGGGGAATGGTGTATTTGAGGGAGATCTGGAGAGCAAAGCCTCTGCCTTCGCAGCACCGTCGGGGGTGTGGGGGTGTTCTTAAGGAAACGGTTCTCCTCAGTCGACTGAAGATAGTGGCTAGATTTCCTGCATTGTTGCAGGGCGGATATGGGGGGGATGTCAAGAATTTCTGGGCATTTCCCATCGGCCTCTGTAAACCTGGGTGCTTGAAGACCCTTTCTGATTGCTGCCTCTGTCTTCCAAGTCAAGCTTTTTGGGAGGAGACCTGATCTGTGTCTCACATGAGCCCTTACTGACCCAGCTTCAGGAACTGAGAAGGTAGTTTTGTGATGTTTCCTCAGCCCCGCCGTTCACCACTGGCAGACCCAGGAAGACACTCTTCAGGCCACCCCACCGCCATCATTTCTTCTTCATTTTATGTATTTCCTCTACCACAGACCAAGTGGGGATATCCAGACATTTGTTGAGTTAGCATTTAATCCACCTTTTTCTAAACCATATCTATTTGCTTGTTTATAATAATAATAGTAATATAATAATAGTAGTAGTAGTAGTAGTAGCAGTAGAATCTTGTGTTGCTGGATATTAAGCCTAGGATCTGTCACGGGCTAGACAAGGGCTCTACCATTAAGCTACC